GGACTTCCGTCGAACTCTCGAACTCCCAACGAATCCTTCGCGCTTGACTCCAGCACTTTGTTTCGCTTTATGTCTTCATCGTTATCGTAGTTAATCCTGCACACACAAACCATAACTCTACTCCGATCTAGACAATTATTACAACGCGAATTGACATTCTGTTGCCCGGCATGTCATTGGTTGGTGCTTCATCCGATTCTTCGGTGCATCATCCTCTCTTGCGGCTGGTTGCCCAATCGGTGGTTGACCTCCGCAACCCCGATATCCTTGGCGCAATTTCGCTCTCCTTGGCCCGATGCCCGACGTCCGAAGCATTCAGCCATCCAATATCCTGACGTGATCTCTTCCGGCGCAACGTCAATTCCTCCTGCGTCAACTATCTAATCCTGATCGTGTAGACCTGCATCACTCAAAATGCAGTTTAAATTATAAACACATATCAAGTGGTTTCATCATCAAAATACGAGATTCAACACTAGTGTGTTGTATACCCATCCATATGATGGATGCAGTTGGTCTCATAGCTGCTTGTGTGGGGACACTAAGGATATAGTGCAGGTGCTCATTGGAGAATGAGTTCATTGATTGATTTGCTTACGGAATATTTAATGGTTGATGATGCCTTATTGTTAAATAGTGATTCTGTCATCCCAGTGGTGTATATGGTCCTTAGAGTTGAGACACCAAGGATGTACTATATGAAGACTCCACTCTTTGATACCAGACTTATAGGTCTGGAGGTTCCAGATATAGCACAACCGGTTATCAGGAGTGGTAGCCAACCTTATGAGGGCTATTGAGTATCGATAGAGGATCATCCATTCTTGATGTTATGAAAGAAATATCTCATATGTTCTTGCTAAGACAAATCCTTGGTTAGGGTCATTCAGATTGAGAGAGAAATAGTTCTCTGGGAGAATCCGATTAGAGTAAGACTTATGTAGAAACTGTATGAACTTAACAACACCATGCTCGGTATACAGTCTATGGGTTATTAGATAGATGATGGATTATAAGTATATGGTAATTGAGGATAGATAGGTACAAAGGATTGGATTTCACTGTATCGATTAGGGACTGCGGGGTAGTGGCCTAGTACATCCACAATCGATGAGTTGAGTAAATTATTATGAAGATAAAAATTTACCGAGCCAGAATGAGTTCTAATAAGTATGACTCATGGCCAACTCAATATTGGGTCTAGAGGGTCACACACATATAGTAGGCGTTAGATGAGATCCAATAAGAGCTAATAAGAGATTATTAGGTAGAGACCCACTAATCTAAGAGGCTTGGGTAGTTAGATGGAGATCCAGTATCCAATATGGTAGGATCCATTAGGGTTAAGTTGACAAGGGGCCTCTATAAATAGGAGATAACCAAAGACCGATAGACTAGAGGTTCTTTTTGGCTACCTCCTCCTATTCTCCTCTCTCCCTCTCCTCCTTATATTGTAGCCCCTATTTAGAGTGTATGAACAACAAGAAGGGGTAGCCCCTTCTTGATTGCATGGTGCCCGCGAGGAAGAGTTTTGGGCAACGATTTGAGGAGCATCTTCGCGGCCCCTACCGTGAGGATCACTGCTAGAGAGGAGGATATTTGACCTCATTCATCCTCTCCCATAGATCTACAAGTTTTCAAGATGATTATATACTGAATCAAGAAGCACATTGGAAGCTTTAAAATCACGATAAATGACTTTCGCCTTGTCGCTATGAAGAAAAGCGAGTCCTTTAGCAGCTCCGAGCGCAATCTTCATTCGGAGATTCCAAGAGAGTGCCTGATAGTATGAACTCCCTACATCACCATCAAAATAGACAATCTTCAATAGGCATGAAGAATGCTTCTAGTATAATGAATATCAAATGCAGGGTGTGTAGACCACCACAGATAACTTACTCCTGAAGAGATGATTCTCCAAGCTTCCGCGAGGCATAAACTCATACACAAGAAGCCTTTGTTCATCCTCTAGGCAGTATCCGATAAGTTGATTAATTAGTGAATTCATTCTCCAATGAGCACATGCACTGTAGCTCTAGTGTCCCCACATGAGCAACTATGAGACTAGTTATCTCCATCATATGGATAAGTATACAACATACTAGTTTATCCGATTATCTCGATATCCCTCTCGAGTAACCTATGACTAGGATTATTTATGATTTATGTTTAATGGCGAATCGATCTCATTATCATGATTTCATCATGATCCGATTTCATTGCACAGATCCATGAATATCACAATATATTCATGCAACAAGTAATATAAAGTGATAAAATATCAAATAATAATAATAAGCAAAAAGACTGCGTGTTAAGTCACACATGCCATTACTCACATGATTAGCTTGTAGGGTATATATGACTAGCAGAAACTATAGTCGAGTGAATAACATAGTAGAAGAGGTGGCACATACGATGGTGGTTATCAACTTGTGATGACGATAATTAGTGGTTGATGTTATTACTCTTTTTGGTTGTGGTAGTAGCGATGCTACGATAGTAATGGTGCTACTATGATGATTGAAAGTGAAGGAGAAGGATGGTGGTCACATGGACAAAGGAAATAAGAAATATGGTAGAGTCTCTCACTCGTAAGGACTCTCTTATCATTTATGCGTAGCTACATGCTTTCAATTCTTTATTTATTTATTTTTTTAAGATATAAGAGGTAGCTATAAGCTCTCAATTCTTTATTAATTTAATTTTTTTAAGATATAAGATTTATAAAGATAAATATCTGTGTACGAATATGATAGGTCTAATTTTACAAGAGTTATGTGTAGAAAATCATAGCATGAAAATATGTATCCCCCGTTACATTATTTTATTGTCATATATTTCCTTCTACCACAAGAAGGAAGATTCATAAGATACATAATGTTTCAATGGAGGATTAGAGATTTATAAGATAATATATGTTTCCATTTTAAGATTATCTATCGTATGCATCTTAAGAATATACATGACATTCATTTTGATAATCCCATACAAACTTAAGCCCAGATTTTAATATAAGTGTATCTTATTTTTAAATTCTATTATAATTTAATAAAAAACATATAAGATGAATCGTTCATGAGTATTTATCCCCATATGACTTTGATATAATGATGTGGAAATTTTTTATTCTCTTGCATCGCGATAATAGTACGACGATGTTCTGATCCCATCGTCTAAGAACGCAAATCTGGGTTGATTCAAGAGAAATGATCGACGGGCAATAAATAAAGCATGTTTCATTCTTCTATTCTGGCGTGGACGCCACCGTGTTGGCTGGATAAGTGCTGGAGCTTGTTCGTCAGAAACAGCAGGATCTGCCGATGACAGCAGATCCGGGATCCGACACAATATAATGTGGTCGGTTGCGCCTCGTCGGATTTTTATTCCAACTCTCCCACCCATATGACGGTAAACCAAATGTAATAAATTGTTCTACAGTAGCGTGTTTTATTCAATTCCAGACTGATCTCATTTATTCACAGGAGTGGACCAGTTCGCTGCAGTCAAAGACTCCAAAAACCGGCGAAAAAAAAGTAGCTCGTAAGAACCTCGGCCGCCGCGATGAGTACCATGAAGTTTTGCCGAGAATGGTAAACCCTCGCCGAGAAGAACTCCATCATGCCTGCCTTTTTCTCCCTGCTAATAGGTATTCCTCCTCTGGATTGGTACAGCAACAACATACTGTACCCTAAGGAAGACAGGGAGCAGAAGATCCTCCTCTATGCGTGCCGCAACTGCGATCACCAGGTTCCCTTCCCACCTCCCAAACTTTCTTTCCCTGTTTGGTCTCTTGTCTCGGTCTTTCTAGCGGAGAATGCGGGAGCTTGAGGTAAACAAAAGGATTAGTCCTTTTATTGAGCTCGGAACAAACTGTGAGTCATCCATTTAAGGCGGGTTTGTCTTCGTTTTCCTCGTCTCTTTTCTGCTTGGCTGGTGATGATTCACTGCTTTATTCTCTAAGAGATTCATTTATCTATTTCTGGAGAGGTGCCTGCAGATTGATTGAATTGATTAAAGCCATGCCTAATGTGACACCAGATACTAACGGGAACCTTATAGTGATTTTTCGCTGCCAATAACAATTTTTCTGAGGTGCTTACATCTCAATTTTCAGTGACATCTGGATTATTTGTGCTAGTTGCAAATGTAAGTTCGTCCAAATTTTGCCGTAGTAACCTGTTGTAAAATGTGGGCACGATCTTGGAAGATAGATGATGGTGCTTTATTTGAGGAATGGTTTGGTACTATTACAAGACGATAAAGGTAATTGTGCAAATCTTCAAATTTAGTGTCTGTCTTGCACAAGTTATATCAACCGAGTTGGAAGCCTTGACTGTGCAGCTTGTGAGGCATCATGTGTTGATTATAGATCCATGTGGCTGCATCATTTTTGTTCTCGAGCTGTTTGAGTGTGTTCTTAACTCCTGCATAATTTAGGGTGAAGGTATAAGGGGGAGAGTACAGTTAGTTTTATTCTTCTTCATGTAATCCATATAATCTCAATAACTTTTTCCTTCTTGCTGCTGTGTTGACATGAGTTCAAACAATGATTCTAATGCAATTTCCCAACTGGTGGGTATAAAATAATTGCAAAGTAACTGAGCTATGAGGAATAGTTATTAGAATAAATTGTACATTAACCCCACCAACCATCAGTGCACTGAATTACTGGTTAGACAGACGGATCAATTGGTTTGATAATAAATTTAATAAAATATGCTACAAAAGCATGTAGTAATAGTTTTTGTTGTTTCTTTATTTTATTTTTCTTCTTTATTTTTCTCCTCCATCCTCTCTCTGTTCTCCTCCTCTTCCTTTTGCTCTTATCTGCCCTTCTCCTCTGCCATCTTTTCCTTTCTGTCCTCTTCTCTTCCTTTTCCCTCTCTTTTTCCTACTTTCTTTCCTTCTCGCATTTCTCCTTCTTTCTTTCCATTTTTTCCTTCCTTTCCTTTCCTCCTCCTCCTCCTGCTCCTCCTCCTCCTCCTCCTCCTCCCCTCTACTTTTATTTCCCTTGATTCCCTTCTTCCTCATTTATCTTTTCCTTCTCCTCAACTCCTTGGTTACGACAATTAGGGACTGATTAAGATGGGAGGACTTATTAAATGTCACAGAAATTTTTTGAATGTGGGTACTGATATTACTCAGTTGCACCTACTAGGATTCCATTTGATTCAGACAAAAAAGGTATTGCTTACTTCTCATATTGAAAAACCCATTCAGTTTTGCTTACTTGATCAGTTCTTGTGGTTTATTGAAGAACCATGTAAGTTGGCTGGTCTATCCCAATTCCCGGAGTCCAAAAAATTCCAATCTTTTAATAGAATTAGATCATTTCTTTGAGCTAGTTCATAGTTTCCATGATCAAACCTATGAATCTCGGTCCTATTCTAATAACTGTGCTATAAGATATGATTGAAGTAACCTTTTCTTTTGGAATTGTGTCCCTTGATGGGTTTATTTAAGCTTTGGAAGCATCATTTCTATAACTAGTTAAAGAATTCTTGTTTAATTCATTTTCTTGGTTAAGTTATATGCCATTCATGATTAGGTAAATTTGATATTGCACCTCAGTAGGACATAGTCATCATTAATGATCAATTCCTATAATTTCGCTCTTCGATTCATGAATTGGTTTTACACATTTTGTAGTAAAAAATTGTTTTAAAGAATTTCATGTATGAGATAGAGATAGAGATAGATTATTGATTAGTTCCACATTGTTGAGGAATTAAGGTGTCATGCTGTATATTCTGAAATTAGCTTGCAACTTAAACAACTTATGCTATTGGATTGTAAAGTTGTACAATCACCATGCATGATAGCCTTGACCAGATTCACTCATATTTAACATAATTTAAAAAATCAAATATGCCAAGTGTTAACGCAAAAATCAAGTGATATTTTTAAGTCGAGTAAAGACGGATAGATGCACAAGTGAACTACCCCATAATGGGGAGATATGAGGAAGGCATGAGCAAACCTAGGGAGAAGATTCATACAGGTACTGGTAATAATATCAAACTACATAAGAAAAAGGAGATGTTGAAAGAAAAATTCATGATATGACTAGATTTGACGTCAAATTAGAAGTCAACACGTGACATCCAATCAAATCACGTGCAGGGCCATGGGAGACCAGCTAGCATGGTGATGATGTGGAGCCACCTCATCCTACCCAAATAGCATGGTAATGATGTCACACCACCTAAGCGTGCCCTTTCAACGTGACATCTAAATGAAATATACCCCACTGATACCCTAGCTTAGGCTTATGCAAGGAGAGTCTTTCTAAGTATGCACTAACCTCTATATTCTCTGAATTAGACTCATTACTTTTAGCTCTTTATTGACTTAAGCATGAGAAGAGCCCTGTTGGACATGCCTTTGGATCATTTTTGCTATTTCCTCCTATTTGGGAGGAGTCTGCTCTTAAAGAGAAGAGACGAGACGAGAAGGAACAATCTGCCCAGACCTTCTCAAGGGGCATCTGATTTTCTGATGTGATCGCATTTGGAAAACAGATCAGTTTGGGTCAATTCCACCACGTGGAATTCACAACCAATTCTGACACTAACAATTCATATAATATTCACGATAAAGATATAAATTGTTGGAGGTTGGTCCCACATTGCTAAGGAATTTAAAGTTGAGCCATATATATTGGAGTTGGTTCGTAACCACTATGCATGATAGCCTTGACAAACCTGACTTGGCCTCAAATTGAAAAGAAAATTCTAACAAAAATGTGTATGAGATTTGATGAAAAGTTGCTTTTTGGTAATGTGGGGTGTGGGGTATTTTATTTTGCATTTTGGGTTGGATTTTGAGAATCTCATACATTAAATTAATTTTTCTTTCATAAAACTTAAGAACAAGCTAAATCTCTTTGAGCAAGCAAGTCCATGTCGGACACTGACTCCGAGATTGCATTTTACATTTTAATATTTTGTAACCAACTTCTGAATAAAGACCTTGATGTGCATCATAATAACTTCAAGAATACAATTTTGTTGCCCATATTTACAAATTATGGAGTCTATAATGGGATTCACAAGGTACCATGACTTTTATATTTGATCTATTAAATATTTTTTCTCTGTTCTTCTATAACACGTGTTCCTTGGGACACTTATGCTTATTGTCATGTTATTCTCATATAGCATATTTCTTGTTTATCCGGTCATCAGTTTTTTGAAATATATTCAATGTAACAATGTCTTGAGAGTTGTTGGGCTCTTATTCAGGAGGTTGCTGACAACAACTGTGTATATAGAAATGAGATACATCACTCGGTTGGTGAACGTACACAAGTTTTACAAGATGTTGCTGCTGATCCTACTCTTCCTCGTACAAAGTCTGTCAGGTGTGCTGTGTGCGGTCATCCAGAAGCTGTTTTCTTTCAGGTATGGACTCCTTTGTCTTGGATGGTGCTGAAAATTCATCTTCTTGGATTTCATGGCTTGTATGCTGCATACACATCTATGTTAAGGTTGCATTGACTTGTCATTTGTTCCATCCTTGGTATCATGCAAAGAAAGTTCCGATTTAAGTTTTGCTATCGAAGATGATTGGTGTTTATATTTAGAATTAACCAAGTTTTGATTTATGTTTAGTCGCTAAAGATGGAAAAATTATTTTTATAAACTATTTAATGAATATTCTACACATGACTTAGATTTAACGATAAATAATGGTGGTAGATTTAATAATTATAGATTTATTCATAAAATTAGCTACTGAAGTAAAAGACACATTAATAAAGATAAAAATAATTGAGAGTGTGGGGCATCATGGTATCTCTATTGAGATTTGGAAAAGTTTAGGAGATAAGGGAGTAGTTTGGTTAACTAGTTTATTTAACAAAATCATAAGATTTGGAAGGATGCCTAATTAATGGAAGGATGCCTCGTGGGTCCCGCTATCGCTTCCATGCTCCCGCTACGTCTCCTCATGTAATTACAACATAATTACAAGCACGTATGCCCCACAATAAATAAGAAAAAAATTGGAGACTCGCAGGCCCCAATAATAATAATAATCACATCACATACATCACATCACACGTCCATGATCATTCGTCCACGTCTTACATTACATGTGCACATCATTATAGAGGACTACTAGATAAATAATAATATTTAATTAAACATTTTAATTAACTAAAATTTTTCTGAAATTCGAGACATATAGGAAATTTTTTGAATTGAGGGGTATTTAGGTAATTTGGACAGAAAGGACAAACTAAAATTTCTCAAATTCTAAAGGGGTAAAATTAACCGTTTGCCCCAAAATGCCCTAATCCCCTTCCTTCTTTGTTGCCCGAGGGGGTGGGGGCAGTGCCCGCAGGCGCCAATGTGGGCGATCGCCGCGAGCGAGCCCCGCCTCTCGCAGGCGCTGGCCGCCCTTGCAGGCAGGTTGCCCATAGGTCGCCTGCACGCAGACGGCCAAGGCTGCAAGCAGCCTTTGGCCACTTATGCGAGAGCTGTTAGGATTAAGAGCGACACTAAGAGAGGAGGTGAATTAGTGCAGCGAAAATTTTTTTCGATTTCAAAGGACTAGTTTCGATTAAAAACTGATTCCAACGAAAATGGTTTTGATTCAATCCGTTTCGGAGAGAATTTGAACTTGAAAGCTTTCGTAAAAGTGCAAGAGAAGATTAAGGAGATTTGCAGTAATGTAAATTGCACAAATGAAAAGTGTCGGTTTCGTAAAGTCTTCGTACGATTAAAGCCGATCTCGGAAGGTGTTTACTTGAAAGCGTATGTAGGCGTAGTAAAAGCACAGTAAGGAGGAGAGGCAGTTTGCTATAGAAGTAAATTGCTCAAAGTAAAAGCAAACCGAGTTTTAGAGTTGTTCGGTCAATGTGACCTACATCCACTTTCGGATTCCTCCTCTGACGAGGTCACCGATGTCCACTAAAGGCCTTCCTTCAATAGGTGAAGATCGAACACCTCTTTACAGCGCTTTCTCCTTTTCTCAGGTTTAGGAGATAACTCTTACAAGTCTCACTCCTCTTTCTTGGATGGTTACAAGGCAAAGAGATGAAGGAGGAGAACTCTAATTTTTACAACACTTTTATGACTCAAGACTTCAAGATTAAACCAATACTTTCGTGCCCTTTCATGCAGAAAAGGGTGGGGTTTTTATAGGCCCTAATGGCTTCAAAATTGGAGCCAAAAAGTGTCTTATCCCAGATTTCCGGGGTACTGGCGGTACCACCACCATTATTGGGCGGTACTATCGCCTGTACTCTGATACTGGGCGGTACCACCGCCTGACAGGGGTGGTACCACCGTTGGCAGCAATAACTGCTGGCGGGACCACCGCTGGCAACAATAACTGCTGGCAGTACCACCGCCCAGAAATCCAAGGTCATTGCCTTCTAGGTAGTGCCATCGCCGGCCATGTTTTCAGGGGCTGAATTGGGTGCTCAATTCGGCCCAATTCAGCCCTATTAAGGGCCTAGTTGGCCCCTAATTAAGTTAGTGGGATTACCTCCTAATCCTAACTTAATTTACGCTCTAACTACGATAACTAAGACATGATTACAGTGCTGCTTGTTCCGGTGCGTCAATTGCTCTTCCGGCGAGCTTTCGGCGTACTTCCGGCGAACATCCGACGAACTCTCGGTAATATTCCGGTGGACTCCCGGCAAGCTCCTGGACTTTACGACGATCTTCTTGGCGAGTTCTGATGAGCTTCTTTGGCAAGCTCCTGGACTTCTCGGTTGGTTCCGGCAGAACTTCCGACGAACGTCCGGACTTCCGTCGAACTCTCGAACTCCCAATGAGATCTCGATCTTGGCTCTAGCACAACACCTGCTTGATGTATTACTGCTATTGTAGTTAATCCTGCACACTTTTCTCAATATATAGATTAGATTAAACAAATTACAATTGATTTCATCATCAAAATATGAGATTCAACAATCTTTCCCTTTTTGATGATGACAATCAATTGATGACGGA